AAACCAACCACCACCACCACCACCACAAAAAAAAACCCCTTTTTCTCTTCCTAATTAGTTTGTGAATGAGATAGATTCCTGCGACTTACATCTTGCAAGTTAGATCTGTAATCAATGGAGGCTATTCTGACCCTTTTAATATCAGATGGAGAAGGAATATCAGCTGCTGAGAAGCACATTTGAAGATGCAGGGTTCACAGATGAGCAGATTGCATGTATCCCTACTGTTTCGTATCTAGTGTCTTCGTAGGATTGGAGTGTATTATAGTTTTATCTGAAGAAATACAGTAGGCGTCTTCAGTCTAGTCTCGTTATTATTTAACATAGAGGACTTCAATCAGTTATGGAATACTGGGAGAGAAATGGTGCTATTGTCTCTTTAACTTCTGCTAGTTTTGACAAAGCAATGGTATATTGATGTATTGGCACGGATCCGTATCAATTCTTTTCGGATTGAATTGGCCTTGGGATCGTATGAAGATATCCTTTTGTCAGCAGCAGCATCAGTAGACGCAGAGGCTGCTGTTGGAAATGCTATTTATATGCTACCGTCATTTTATAATCATGACTGCGGTAAGAGTTCTCAATCTTCTGATGTTTAGCACTTACATTATCTAAATGTTTCAGTTGACCATTAATCACACTGCATATTTGTAGAGACATGCCAAAACAAAAACTTCCTTAGTCTGCATACCTGTTGGTTTGATTCTGTACTTCTATTACTGGGCCTTTATGGGTAGGACCAGTACTTTCGTTCTTGCTATGATCCTCCAAGTTCTGATGTGCAACTGTTGTTAGTGGTTTCACTTCTGTACTTCATACTTCCTACAAATAATTGAATTTAAGCAGGCAAAATAACCTAGAAGAAGAACAAAGAAAGAAATTTGTTTTGCTCCAATGCTTATATCTAGAGATGTGCCAATGGAACACTAAGCAGTTCAATTAACTCTAATGTTTTATTCCCCCTGCAGATCCCAATGTACACATTCTGTGGATAGAAAGTGTGAACGCAAAATTGAAGGCACTTCGTGATATTGAAGCAGGTGATTCTCCTTTCGTTATTTGATCTGTTCACTTTGCGGTTTTATACATGTGTTTTTGTAAGAGAATCAGTCCCATAAGATTTAAGAACGCTATATTTACTTATGTGGTGAAACCCGTCTAGGCTTTTGTTTTGTGGTTCAATTTTTGGATGTTCATTGCCATTGAGTACAGAGGTTCCACGTGATTATAGCCCGATAGCAGCAGTTATCCAATTCTGACCTCAAAACACTGCGTGCTTAATATTTTGCATATGCTGTTGGCCTACAATTCTGTTGTGGTGAACATCTAAGTTTCTGCTACTATAGGAATGCCTAGCTCCTGATGATTTGGCTGATGTTGCTATATAATAAAAACAACAATAAAACAGCAAGCATTGTCAACAACAAATTCTTCAATCCCAAGCTAGTTGGGGTCGATAATATGAATATTCAATATCCATTTGCTCCATTTTGGCCCGTTCAATCCAATACTCTGTTTGATTGATTTCCTTGTACTGGTCATATAGCCATGAATATGTTTCTCTGAGATTTTCTATAATAAATAGTTTAAAGATAAACCTCAACTGGTGATCTCCCGTCCAGCAGAGCATGCTGGCATAATATAATTAACAAATAAGTCAGTCAATTTCCTGCTTTGTTTTCACTAATCTAACTGTTTCTTTATCTCTAGGATTTTAACATTGATGTTTAAACTCTCATGTTATATAACAGGGGAAGAGTTGCGGATATGCTACATCGATGCAAGCATGGATCATGATGCTCGGCAAGCTATCCTTTCTGAAGGATTCGGTTTCCATTGCAAATGTGCTCGATGTATGTCGAATGACTAGAAAATTGCACTTCTATGTTATCTGCATTCCATTCAGTTCTTTAGGTAATACACTCAACTCAGTTTCTAGTTTTCCTACAGCATCCCGAAGAACAATGTTAATCTAGGACCATGATATTCAAAAGAATGATCAGGGTGGGTTGCTGTGAGCACCCTCCACTTCCAACCAAGAGATTGTGAGTTCGAGTCACCCCAAGAGCAAGGTGGGGAGTTCTTGGAGGGAGGGAGCTGAGGGTCTATCGGAAACAACCTCTCTACCCTAGGGTAGGGGTAAGGTCTGCGTACACACTACGCTCCCCAGATCTCACTAGTAGGATTATGGTGGGTTGTTGTTGATCAAGGCATGTATTTTTTATTCAAAAGATAATGAGGCCGTATTCTCCACTTAAATATCAGACTTTGTGGCAAGGTTTAATTCACACGTAACATTCTTACCACTAGACCAAAACCTAGTGGTGTCAGATCATTTATTTATATTCTTCATTGTTCTAGGTATTGAAGTCAATTAACTCACAAGCTGTAAAATGTTATAAGCCCATCGTACTGCGTGGAGGTGAAGCTGTAACGTGGTCATTGCAAAATTTTCAAGTTAAATTCTTAACAATAAGTGCTTAGAACTAGATCTTTAAAAGCTTATTAAGTAAGACACGGCTTGCAAAAACGAAGAATATGCAGATTATCAAAATAGGGAATAATTAAAGAGATAAAGAAAACACTCTACACCTCCAACCTTTTAGTTTTAGGTTACAAGATAATCAATCCTAGGAGACTTCACAAAATACGCCGAAATGTGGAAATAATATATACGGTTTTTCAAAATAAGAAAATAAATCTATATTTATCTATACTATATTAAAACCACGAATCCCCATAGCGAAGTATCATTCACCTTCTTTTTTTTTTTAACTTTTTTAAAGATAAACTAGTTTAGTACCAGCGGTCTGTATTAAAGCAAAGTAATACTTGAAATATTGTGATTTGGCTCGTTTAATTATATTAGATCATATTAGTGTAATAAAATTTCAATTGTCATCCAGTTTTTTTATATAATATACCTAATAATAAAATCTCTATGATATTAATTGAAGCAAATCATATGGCCATTGAATAACTTTTCTGTTTCTTATTTTTTATTATATTATCTACTACTTAGTATTATTACATTACTAAAATGACTTTTTATTAGCTTGTCACTTGAATTAATATACTTGTCGACTTTTTTTCTTGAATAACTGGAGAGTAGTGGTAAGGACGTTAAGTCAAGTGGGAAACCATACGTATTTTTATTAGCTTTTTACTTAGACTTAACTTCCTTACCATTACTCTATCCGTTTATTCGAATACGTGTTTTTAGGCATTATCTTGTTCCAATTTTAAATGAAAATAATTTATTATAATGATCATTAGTTTTATCTAAATTAATAATAATTTTATCATAATTTTTTCATATATCTTATTTATAATGCGCTACTTGACTTAATCACAATGCAAACTACTTTCCTTATAATACAGATATGTAGGTATCTCAAGGCCTTTTTTTTTTTTTTTTTTTTTGTATTTGTGTAATCATTATCATAAGGATTTTGATGGAGATGTTATCCAAGATCCTACAATTTTAATGAGCTTAACATGTTAAAATTAATGTGGTATTTGGTATAAATTTAAATTTATTCTGAATAAATCATAAATTTAGATTATAAATAAATTTAAATTAAATGTGGTACTTGATAATATATAACTCTTTTTAAAAAAATCTTTGAGTTTGATACGTCCCATAATTAGAGAACAGTGTTATGGCTAAAAATGAGAAGTTGTATAGGTATAGATTTATTTTTTAGTTTAGAAAATCTATATTAAATCTTTGTCTTAATTCTCATTAGATTTATCTTAAAAGTTTTAGATTTTGTCCTAAAAATGCCAAATGGCTTGTTCTCATTATGCCACTTGGCTTAACCTCATGCTTCACTACCCTCCTTTTAATATAACTAGTATTAGAACCTGCGTGACAAGTGAGGCTTGCTCATCGGTAAAAGCACCTCCTTCGAGTTACGCTGGAGGGGAAGTGTGAAAACATTGTACATCCTCCTAATTTGGGAGTGATTTAAAAAAAAAAGTATTAGAACCCGCGCGATGCGCAGATAACATTAAAAATATTAATCATATAAATTTATGATTTTACTTGTTTAAGTACATGTGATTGTGTTGCTTTAACAAAATTAAACTATTTTCTTTTTCTTATTTCAATATATCCGATAGATAAACTCTATGATGTTATACTTTATTCTAAATGTAATATTGAATTATTCTAAAGATATAAATATTAAAAGTTCTTGATAATAAAAGATCCACGCCATTGTTTATTTTTTAACGCATATACATATTCTTTTCTTATATTTTTTATTCCCAAAAATAAGTTTTCAGAAAACGATTGTGTTGAAGACAAAGCAATTATTTTTCAACAATTTGTTCTCATTATTATAGAAAATAGAGTTTTATTTTTGTGAAACAAAAAGCTCATTGTTACCCATGAACAACATGGGTTTAATTTGCTATTGGATATTTTTTTAACTGAAATTCAAAAACTAACTATACTCTAACTCACATATTTTATCTTTTAATTTAGATTAAAAAATAATTTCACTTAATTCAAAAATTAATCACACCCAAATTTGTTATATTGCCAATTAATATTGTCTAAAATTTACCATGTGACTTTTTAATAGCTTGTCACATGACTTAATATTTTTATCGAATTCGGCTACTCTCCTCTTATAATAATTCTTAAAGACCGATTATGCTTTAACACATATCTAAATATTTAGTAGTCTATCTATCATTTATCTGATATTTTATATTTTTCGTAATGTCTCTTTCGTTATTTTGGTGAGATTAACGTTAAAGGATTTGTTCTTGACAATTCATCTTCATATGTAGCTTATCGGAGAAACATCTACTTATGTATAAAATTAATTTCCCGATATAGCAGTGTGGAAATTTATGTTGCCAGGAAAAAATAATTTCCTCGATGCAACTTTTATACTCTTTTATTCACAAAATTTTAAAATTGATCTAATCTTTATGATTCATTTCTTGCTACTGAATAAGAAGTGCTCGACATTCTTGACAACTAATTTTTAAATAGCCATGTCAAGCTTAAAAAAAAAAAAAAAAAATTCAACTGTACCTCGTCTTTTTTCTTTATACCTATTAACAAATGAATCATATGGTTATTGAATACCTTTATGTTTATTATTTTTTATATTATACTATGCACTATTTTATTATTAAATTGTTAATGAGTTTTTATTACCTTGTCACTTGGATTAATATTCTTGTTCACTGCTCTCCTTTTAATATAATATATATATCTTTCTTACTTCTAAATTACTTTTTATTTTTAAATTTTATTTTATTATTCAAAAATATTTAATTTTTGTCTATATTAGGAGTATAAATATCCACTTTTAGACCCTTCATTTTTTATTAATTTGATTGATTCTTTTCTGTTCGTGTTTTAGTTAACATGGAAAAAACATTTAGATCAATTAGTAACAAGATCTCAAATTACATTTTACATTAGATCTCATGCGATTGACATGCTTTAGTGTTTAATTGATGAAATGCACCATTTATGGGTATATAATATAGGTATCAATTCAAAAAATTTATTGATAATTTTTATTAGATTTTATCCTAGTTCTTATTAGATTTTTTCCAAAATCTATTTAGATTATGTCTTAAAATTGCCAAGTGGCATTTTCTCAATATGCCACTTGGCTTAACCTTATGTTTCACTACCCGTCTTTTAATATAACTAGTATTAGTAACCGCACGATGTGCGGACATAATCCATGTCAAACAACGATTTGGATTATTTGAATTATGTGCAAATAACCTTAAAATTAAACCTTCTATATAGAAATTATAAATAATTATTTGATATTAATTAAGACATAGGACATGAAACCATTTTTCAAATCTCGGTGCATAATATGTTTTCTTTTTCTATATCTGTAATAACCCAACCCCATAATTTTGACACTTGTATTATATTTTACGGTCAATATTAAGGAATACTAAACATGTAACGTTGTGATCTGTCTTGTTTGAGTATGTTAAATTATATTACTTTAAACAAAATTGTTACTATGACTTTTTTTTTTTAATCTCAAATTCAAATAAGTCTTATCCTTCTACATTTTTAGATATTTTTTTTCTCTCTTTATTTTTCATTCCTTATATGTCACGACCCAAAATCTACTAAGGCCGTGATGGCGTCGAACACCACTATCAGATAAGCCAACCATAATCAATTAACTTAATTACCTAGTATTTTTAAAATAAAAATTTCTTCAATGAAATAGTAAAGATAAAACTCATAGAGTAAATGATAAATATTTTTAGCAACTAAATTCCTAAACAATTCACAACCATTCCCATAAACCCGGTGTCACAAGTGCATGAGCATTTACTAGAAAATTTAAAATAAAATACAGCATCTGTCCAGAATACAAATTAGACAGGAAAATATAATAACTCTGAAGGAGACTCTATTAGCTGCGGATCGTAATACAGAATGCATCTCACCTATGTCCCCACAATTATTAACCACACCTCTGCGCTCACAAGGCCACTAGACATATATGTACCTGCACAATAAAATATACAGCAAGTGCAGTATGAGTACGAAAATAACGTGTACCCACTAAGTATCAAGCCTAATCTCGAAGAGGTAAAGACGAGATGGCCGACTTTGACACTCACTATGGGTCAATAATATTAAATAATCATGAAAATAGAAATATTTATATCAACGTGATTCACAGAGTTAACAATAATTTTTATTGAACAACAGAAATAATTAAATTTCTTCAATTCCAATAAATTTCTAATTTATCAATTAGCCTCATTTACAGGAATAACCATAATTTCCTTAACAAGCAGAGATAATTAATTCTTTCAGTTTTCAATAATTTCCAATTTATCAATCAAATTCCTTCAAATGCAATAATTCTCAATCTATTAATTAAATTCCTTCAATTCCAATAAAATTTCCAATTTATCAATTAGCTTCGCAAGCTGTAATAAACTATCAAAGTGTCGTGTAATTATTATTATTAAGCACGATTTTTGCCGAGATCGTATGGCCCGATCCAGAGTTTCGTGTACACTGCCGAGGGACGTGCGGCACGATCCATAGATGCAGGCGTTCGGCCCGCTCCACAATAAAGGAGGATATTTTTTTATGTACCTCCGGAAGGATAGTATATTTATTATAAGATAAATTCGGGAGGAAGAACAATTTCTCTTAATAATTAATTAATTTAAACAGAAAACTGAGCATGTGAGATTTTCATCTTTTAATATTTTTACCTAACAATTCACAATATATATATATATATATATATATATATATATTAAATAATATTAATTAAACAAAGAATACAATTTGCACAAGTAATTCATGCTTTATG